TACAATAGTTTGAGCACAGTTGCCGGAATTTGAATATATTTTAATACACTTCATGAAAGTTTTTTATATTTATTCTAGTTTTCTAGTACCTCCTGCGAGACTACCGTCAGTTTTACTAAGAAGAAACTCCAGAAATCCTAAGTTTTCAATAATTTTTATAGAATGTGTTTTTGTATTTATGAAGATAAATAGATATACTTATCTTGAAAACCTCTTTTAAACGAGACTCAGGAAGGACAACATAAAGATACTTTATCATATTGTTTTCGACTAAATGATTTCAGTATAAATGATGATTAGATTTGGCGAAGAGTAACTGTTTTAGAATAAACCATTTTCTCGGCGCTTTTGTGTCTGCATATAAAAGTTTATGCAAATTTCCTAGGTTTACTTTATGGAGAGATCCATGCGTTCTTTCTATTGCGTCTGCGTACAAAGGTAAAAGTTGTAAGGACTACCATTGGTTTAGAAACATAATAACCTGAGCGATTGGCAACTTGACAACCAATGAGTATTTATTTAACATTGATACCGCGGGTGTTGTTGGCAGCGGTGACGTATGTGCACGAGGGTTGTCGGGTGAGTTTTGTCAAAAAAACAAGAAACAACATTTAATGATTGTTTGAACAGATGGTTCGAACTAAATGTCAACTCTTTCACAAGTACCAAAGTCTGTTCTTCAACTTGACTTTCTACCTATATAAGTTATGTTTTGTGTGTAGATAATTCAGATCGTTTCTAAAGATGAAAGTGGAATACCTTTATTTTAAAGTTTTAGTGGCTCTCCTCTACTTGGGGCTGATGGTAGCTTGTAAGTTTTTTACTACATGAATCTATCTATCTATCTATTAAGCTTTTCTATTTACTTTGTCCAATTTACTTTTGTAAATAAATATCATTTTGCTAAACAATGACTAATCATAAAATTGGTAATCTTTGTGAAATTATCTAAATCTAAGAATTATTCGTGAAATATTGTCGGTTAACTGAAATTTTGGAAGTAATGTATAGTTCAATAACTTTTGCACCAGAATCCCTTTTTTTTTTGAATAATCATAAGATGCGTTACCATAATTCTTTACATCTCATAAGATATAATGTAGCTTCATATTGTACAATTTTCATATATCAATAATACTACTGTTCCTATGTCTTTAAGCCTTACAGACTCAATTTATCTAGCTTTATAATAAAGTTATCTAACATCAATTTTTATTTGTATTTTATAATTATGGTTTGGAATTACTACGTAGCCCTTTTTAATTACTAAGCACTACAAGTTAAGACTTTCTAGAGCACATGTTTAATTAGTTTCGTGTATTTCAGTATTTCCATATAAATACAGAGCAAGCTAATATATCATATGGCCATAATTTATGTTTAATTGGGTTCATTACTATCTTTTCTTCTGAATAGTGTGACGGATTTATTATTATATATTTATTTTAATATCGATGTTTGTTTCAATTAATTTATACTAAGAAATGTACATAACTTATACTGTTAAATCTGCGAAACTCCCGCCTATTCTTTAAAGTTGTAGAAGATACTCGAGTGTAAGAATCAACAATATATGTGTGTGTACTTAAACGCTAGTGTTAGCGTCACTATTGTTACGTAAAAATGAAATTTTGAGAAATTCTCCTCACGCCTATAAATATAACCAACGCGACTCCGCCGAAAAACAGTATATATTATTGGTTTGCTATACTTGGTGTGCTATAAACCTAGGAAGCTATAACTTTGATTGTTATAACGCTTATTAATCGAAAAACTTAAGCTATTTGACCAGAAACATTTATAAGTTTCGAAAGTTACAAACCATTTGACTTCAGTGGATTCACATCGGACATTAGTACTTTTACGAAAACATTACCTAACGTCACTGGTAGAAAAAATCGGCGTGTGATCAATGAAGACCACAGAGCAAGCTAGCTCCCTATTAAGTGAATTGTACTTACGTCAAGTCGAAATTAACTCGCTCGTCGTGAACCCTCAATAAAATATCAAGGAAGTTCCAAACCAGAAAGAAGACTTTATATTGTTTATAAGTTTGTAAAACTTTTGTATATAAATCATTGTTTGTAATAACTATTGGTAATAACTGTTATTGTAAATTGTATTGTTGTTTGTATATTAAAACATATTTGTGTTATAAAAGAACACCGTGTGTATCAATCTTATTGGCAAATATCATAAATTGGATACATATCGGCATTTATTTAACTACTAAATCTAAATTACAATTTATCCCAGTTTTAGGCCATTCAAAATTTTAATACGTAAAAACAGTGAATAAACTTACATTTTGAACTACATTGATTTTTTGTAGATGATCTTTCCTCAAAAAAAAAAAAGAGAGAAAAATAAGTATATACTAAAGAATCATCATGTGGACGATATACATAAGGTAAGATCAAAATACCATGTTTGTCACCATATTTATGTACTTTTTTATTTACATTATGTGTGAATATGAAAAAAATTATTCATCTTGTAATGGAGAGTAGTTCGTGCATTACAAATAAACCTCTATCTAAGGTTTGTAAATGTGGTCTTTTATTCACATGAAGTTCCCTGTTTTGACGTGTGTTTTCTCAGCCTTTGATATTGACAGACTGTGTTAGGCGCTATTTGGGTGAGACTGGGGTTGTACAAGCTGTGCAGATGATGCAAGATGGTGCTACACGGAAAGCTGTTGCAGCAAGGTTTAATATTGCCTAATTGTAGTTTCAACACTTTGGAGACGTTATCAAGCCACTAGATCATACAGAGGGAGACCAAGCTAGGGCCGTCAGTACACGTGCTACAAGTCAAAGACAGGACAACTACTTGGTAAATTCAACACTACAGAATCGTCAAAGTTCTGCTAGATATCTACAAATTGACTTTCGTCGTGTAACTGGCGACCATGTATCTGACAAAACTGTTCATAAACGTAGATTAAGAGCCAGAAGACTCACTCTTGATCATGCAGCACCTTGCTGTCATATTAAACTTTTCTCGTTTAGACCATAACGGACAGCTTCGTCCTGTACTATTTACAGACGAAAGTAGGTTTCATGTCTCCACTTGTGACAAACGTGTACGTGCATGACAACTTCAAGATGAACGTTATGCGAGTTGCAATACTGTGGAGATTCTGTTATTGTCTGGGCGGGGATCTGCTTGGAAGGTCGAACTGACCTAATTTATATTGGTGGCAGTTCCTTATCTGCAGGACGGTATCGAGGTGACATTTTACATCTTGTTGGAAGAGTTTTTCAGGTGTCATCGGAGACACTTTGACATTAGTACAGAATAACGCCAGACCATCTTTGGATTACTTAGAGCAGCATGTAATTGAGGTGATAGAGTGGCCAGCAAGATCGCCGGATTTAATTCCCATCGAACGGGCGTGGGATTAACTGTAGAGACAAATTCGTCGCCATGAAAATACCCCTGCCAATGGTAAGGAGTTGTGACAATCCTTGGCAGAGGAATGAAACGCCATGTTTCAAGGCTACATCAGATTCATCGTCAGAAGTATGCCAAGACGTTGTCGAGAGTGTATACAAACTAGAACTAGTTATACCTCTTTCTAGAGGTTAATTGTGAACTTTAGCTTTGTGTTCTTCACGTTTTACACACTACGTGGATTACACTTTCGTTTTGAGGAGTGTTTTAAAAATGTCATAAGATCATTAAAAAACGAAAACTCGACAAAGTTTTGATTCAGAAAAAATCATAATAAAGGCTTTTTTTTATTTTAATTAACATTTTTGTTACCTTCGTTATTTACAGAAAGGTTGAGTACTTTATTTTTTAATTACTCCCTCAAACGTTTGAGTAGTGAAGTAAGACTTTAATTTGGTAATTGAACAAGAGAAACGGTCTATATTTTTTAAACAAAATAATGAAATAAACAAGCGTTATTTTTTAAATTATTTTACAAGAAGTTAACGAATACAGTGTTTTAGTGCTAAGATTAAACACTGGGTCATGAATATAAATCTAGTAGATATTTACGTTATTTTGATATGTTTATTGTTAATGATCATTACGAACCCTAAGCTCAAAACTGCGAACGATGAAACGTGTTAAAAAGATAAATATGTTTTTTTCTCTCTCACTCTCTAGCTTGCCCCCCCCCCCCAGTGGCACAGCGGTATGTCTGCGGACTTACAACGCTAGAATCCGGGTTTCGATACCTGTGGTGGGCAGAGCACAGATAGACCATTGTGTAGCTTTGTGCTTAATTACAAACAAACCCACAAACTCTAGCTTGGACCATGTACTTACGTCTGTTGGATAACTTTTTACCCAACTATCACCAGAGATTAGATGGATCGTCTTGTGGCACCAACCAGGTTAGAAAAAATCCAATCTGTTTCAAATTATGGGTAAAATAAAACTTAATCGATTTCAAAAACTTTCTAAATTATAATTCAATACATTTCATAAGTTTCATGAAACAGAACCTAATCCTTTCCAAAGGCTTTATAACCCAAAACCCCATCCATTTCAAGAGCTAGGTAAAGCAGACCTAACCAATTTCAAAGAATTGGTAAGATAGAACGTAAGTTACTTCAAATGTTTGATAAGACAGAATCCAGTCAGTTTCAACTGATTAATAATTTAGAATGTAAAACTTTTCAATGGCTTCTTGAGCTTCTGTTCAATGATTTTTGCCTAATTAATTTGTAATCGAATCATACATACTAGATAAAACAATTGATATAAATTAGAAAATGCATACATTTTTCAGGTATCTTAATTACTTAAACACTACGAAAGAGATATATTGTAATTTTGATTTTGTTACGTCGATTTTAATAATTTAAGTTTGAAAGATTCCGTGTTTTGTTATTTGCCTCTTATTGAATTCTTCATTACTATGATTTATTCTGCAGTTTTTTTAGAACTGTATTTTATAATATAATTAAAAATTCATACTTGCAAGTTAGCTTTGACATATCGTCACACCAGTGAAATATTCTATTTAGGTTTGTTCAGGTGGTGTTTGTTGCAGTTTATCGACTGATGATGTTCACATATCAACGTGCACGAAAGGAGTAGCTAGGGGTAACTACTATAAAATACATTTTGTACATTTGTTTCTTATTGATATTTAATTATGTATTAACAATAAATATGATTAGTACTGTAAAATAAGAGTGATCTTTAAAATGTCTATCATCATACAGTAACTTATTACCCTAATATTTAATGATTTAGATACTTCCTACACTACTATTTATATTTAAGAAATGATTGCTTTTTTATGAATTGAAAATTAAAAATGTCTGAGTTTTTTAGAGCTTGCCTATAACTACCAAACCGATTCAAATACACGATCACAGGTTTGGTTTGTTATGAATTTAGCCTAAAGGAAAATTAAGATAATATTATGAACACCCGGAATCGCTCTTTTCTAAATTTCTTATATTGCTTTCTATATTAATTTTCATCTTATGCAAATTAGAATATTTAGTTTGTTGTTCTTGTGTTTAATCAATATAATTTTTTCCTGAGAAACGGTTCCATGTTTTTCGAATTGTGTTATGTATTCTAAATCTTTGTCACGTTTATATCTAGGAAAATATATTCCACAGAAGACACTAAAAATTATTAAGTTGTAGTGTAAAATATTCATCAACTTTCACAGAAGAATAAGATGAAAAAATAAACATTTAAAAATATTTTAACGTGACATTTCCATTGTTACTCACTTTTTTAATGGTTGTATGAGTATTTTTCGGTTATCAGTTTGTATTTGTAAGACGCTATAATCCTCGGGTAAGCCGTAAGCCGAAACCTCGGGTTTCAATAAAACAATTTTTCTAGAATGTGATTAGTCATTTTATGGTAAAATGTTTCAATGTTCCTTTGCTGTGTAAAGTATAAAAACTGATACAACTGAAGAACATTTCTTTTCTTGTGGGAATACCAACTGGAAAGCCCCCCCAGTGGCACAGCGGTATGTCTGCGGACTTACAACGCTAGAAACCGGATTTCGATACTCGCGGTGGGCAGAGCACAGATAGCCCTTGTGTGGCTTTGTGCATAATTAAAAACAAACAAACCAACTGGAAGACATTCACAAATACTAGAGACTGTGTTAGTGGGTTATGTCGAATTTTTACAATTTAACTAAGCATCTATGTAACTAAAACTTCCCGAGCAATTTTTTTATTCGAGAATTTATTTATGCTTCGTGATACTTACGGACATTTGTACTCCATTTGTTTTACAGTATTTCCTTGAGTGCCAAGTAAGATGTGTAGACTGTGTTAGACGCACTACTAAGACAGTGAATGTGCTGAATGGCACTTCGTGTTTCATGGTAAGTAAATTTTCTAAGGAGTAAAATTAAACAAACTTTAATCATGACAGAAAAAATTACATTCATCGTTAGGTGCATTTTGTGATTAACATACGCTTAGAATTTTTAAAGATATAAAACTATTAAGTACTAAATCTTTCGTTGGTACACGACTAAGGAAAAAGAGAAATTCAAATATTAGGCTAAAAATATAAAACATTCATATCAATCATATATTTATAACGTATTATTAAAAAATATATTTAACTTAGCACAAATTAATTAGCACAAATATTTCTGTTCATTTACAGTATTACTCAAAATGAATTTTGATTGATTTAATCACGGTATTTGAAATATATTAATGTCTGGATTCAAATCTTTGTCGCTCAGAAATTTCCATAAATACATTATATCGTTAAATTTATTTGTTATAAGCGCAAAACTACAATGGGCTGTCTGTGCTGTGTTTACCATAGAGAATCGAACCCTAATTTTAGCGGTTAAATCTTTCAATCTTATCACAGAGTCACCAAGAACTGTACAGTAGTCCAAGTAGGAGTGATAAATAATTCATAACATTTAACTCTCTTTTATCAGATTTTTATTTTTTAAACGATCATTGTATGTAACCTCAAAATTGTCTAAACCATTTATAAGCTTTATAAAGGTGTTTAGTTTGAGTTTTATATGCTGGTATTCGTGCGATATGTGCTTTTAAAAGACAAATTATATTAAAACTATTACAGTTTGTTTGTGATTGATGACATTATTATTGATAAGTCGGGAAATAAACTACTTCATAATCGTTTTAAGTCAAAATTGTTTTTAAATTTTGATGTTTTGGGGAAAATCTTTGTCTAACTTTGATAAAAGTATGTCATTTTCATGAATACGTTCAGGAAGGAATTTGTACTATATTTCTACTCTGTAAAAAACAAGTCGCTTTGCCGCCAGTTATCCACTAAGGAAAAAATTCCTTTTTTGAAAATTACAAGTGACCAGTTCATGCAAAAAATTTTAGTAGCGATGGTTATGTTTTGTAGTGGTTATCGTGCCCAACGATGAGTCCAAAGATGTATGGTGTGCACCTCACCCCTTTTCTCAAAAAAAAAAAAAAACGAACAAAAACAAAAAACGCTCTCCATACTTTAGATCAGTGTGTGTGCGCTGAAAGGTGATGATCAAATCTTTCTATACGTTCAGATTAGAGTAGTTTAAGAATTGGCGGCTGGTGTTGTTGACTAGTTGTTTTCTCTTTCTAATCACTCAGTTCTAAAGTAGAGATGAATATGTGCATGTATATTCCCAGGAAAAAATCTAAAACAAAGAAGCAAACCCTAAGTTTCTAACGCTAAATGGGATAATTTTAAGGGGAATATAGAGACTTAGGATGTTTTATTACAATTCGAAATAATATGTTCCACGGTGGGACAGCGGTAAGTCTAACGATTTACAACGCTAAAATCAGGGGTTCGATTCCCCTCAGTAGACACAGCAGATAGCTCGATGTAACTTTGCCATACAAACACACACGAAATGGTATGAATAGATAAACACAAATATATCTATATGTACACTTATGTTTCTGTTCAAATACATATGTATTCACTTTACTAAGTAGTTTATAAAATACTAACTTCGTGCTATCTTGCAGGGTATCCCAACTTGTAAAAGTGGATGGTGCAGACTTTAGATACTTCGGTATACGTTCGATTAATGGGAAATCATAAAAGGAGATTCTGATTATTTTTTCATCAAAACTTCCTATTATTCCTGGCATCTTTCACTATATTATGTTTAAGGATTTATAACCGGCACATACGTTACTATAGACAAATGTATTTACTGTGTACCATGAAATAAAAGGTTCTTACATGAAAATTGTTTGTTTTGATTTTTTTTCATCACCGTAAACATAAAACAACATATTTTTCACAAATGTATACTTAAGATGCATGTAACGTCAAAGAAACTGCAAATACTTATTTTTAAAATCTCCTCACTAACGTTGCTTTGTTGGCATTTTATTTGTTTGTGCAAAACCTCCTTTCATAGACTGAATTTAAACAAATCTTTCAAACGAAATAATTGTAAAATCACAAGGCATAATTCAAAAGTCCTCGTTGCTTAATTTATAAAGTAGGAAACAAAAATGGAAATATCTAGAAATATACGATAGGAATTTAAAATTACTTTTTCATTCATCTAGAGAAAACCTTTTGTCGTATTTTTCTACTAATTTAACTGTTTTCACTAAACAAATCGAGTTTCATAATAACAATCAAAAGTGTTATAACGTACTTTCTTAGTATATGTGTACTAATGCTAATCGTTTAGAAAAAACATATTCTTCAGTCCTTAAACATTTACTTTTTAGCTTCTTTTCTTTTTAAATTCCAAAGGTGTAAATATAAGATTACTCTACGATATTACACCAGTACAAAAAAAAAAGACAAATGCCACTAGTATTAAGAAAGGAAACAAAAATAAATGGGATTATGCTAAAAAAACATTATAAGAAATTGTTTAGTGTGTTGACAGTTAACGATAACATTAAACAAGCCCCCCCCCCCAGTGGCACAGCGGTATGTCTGCGGACTTACAGCGCCAGAAACCGGGTTTCGATACCCGTGGTGGGCAGAGCATGGATAGCCTATTGTGTAGCTTTGTGCTTAACTTCAAAAACAAAAACTAACATTAAACAAATCTTCTCGATATAACATTTTGTAAGGAACCTGATTAACACACCTTTGGATACTTATTTAATCTTTTTTAAATGATTATTTACTGTGAAAAAAAATTGTGTGATGGACAGCATGATATAACAGAAAACGATTGAATACAGTGATATTCTCATACTCCAAAGATAATAAAAACAGATGTCAGATTAATAAACATTTTAGCTCGCCGAAGTATATGATTTGTAAGACTTTTCTCGTTGATATGGAGATCGAGACGCGTGTAACTACGTCCAGTGAAGATTCATCCAGCTTCTCTAGTCTATTCAGAATAAATTTAAATATTTGATTTTCCTCGAGAAATGTGGTGAAAATAGATTATTCTTAGTTTCATCAACCTTAAGTCATACAGGCCATAGCTGTATTAGAACAGCATTAAGTACAATTACAAATGATCAAGTTCTTAATTCGTATTGATTAGCAAAAAACTTAAAAAACAAAACAAAACAGAAAACACTCGAAAATAAATTAAAGTGGCTTATCCAAAGAAATACTCTAAATGTAGGGACTCCCTTTTACCCCCTAATCCTGCTGATAATTTATATGAACACTTAAATAACCAGATGATCAACTTCGGGTTAAAATTTTCTACTTGAAAAAAGAAAGTCTACAATGAAGAAATCTTTAGTGAAATGCAAGAAAGGATTTGTGATCTAAATACAGTTTGGCCAAACACCAATTAGCTTCGAAGTTTACAACGCTTTGAAAACTAATCATGTTTCAAACCATAATCTAACGAAATCAGAAAAGAGTGCTCAAAAGTATAGTTTCTCGACCAACTGTCCGTCACAAACACTTGGCCGTTCAGTGGGACTTCACAAGAACAAACAAAAACTGACAAAATATTTACAGGTAAATATTAGTTGTTTTTCATTGTACCCCCCGTAGTTTAGGGAGGTAGCGAACCGGTCCTTGGTATCGAAAAGGTTGAGAAACGTTGCTCTAAATGACTCGCAGAAAATAAAAATCGTACTATAACTGAAGCTGACAAAAATGTAATTTTAAACAAAACACAGCACAATGACCATGTCAATAAACAGTTATGTGAGGGTTCATATCCCAGTCTATTGTTTGACCCAACCAATTTCGACACAAGTCAAAACAAAAATCAAGAAAATTAAAATTCTAAATAGAAAAAAAAAAGTAATAATTCTTCATCTTCTTTATCATTTCTCCCAGACCCTAGTCTCCCTGAAACTGCACGAAGAGGGTTTATCTTTTAAAGAAATGTAGCTTGCAACAGTAGCTCAACCTATTCTTTAACCCAAAATTTAATTAACAGACTAGCATCACTAAGTAAATGTATGGTAATAAACTCTAAAGAATATTTTACTAAGGTAATAAATAAAACAGAAAAAGAAAAACAACAACATATGGTGTCCTTCTACATAAAAATTATATTCATCAAAGTTTCAACAAATAGAGCCCCATACTCATCATCTAAAAGATTAGAGGATGATTCCCCGCCTAAGGTAAGATATCAACTTATACAACGAGTTAGAGTATAGCTCAGAAGCCCAAAACCATGGATGATTGTGAACATAAGTTTTTCAATGATTTGTATGAAAATCTTGTTCTGTATGCACTATATGCATGTTCGCTTTATCTCCTGGTGATAACTACATTAAGCACTTTCATGAAAACTTAAACTCAGTTCATCCAGACATACGATTCATTGTAGGCTTATAACACTAAAAACTGTGTTTTTAGCACAGAACGTCCATTGTGTAGTTTTGTGCTTAACAACAAACAAACCGTTCCTTGAGAATGACAAACTTTGCCTATTGCAGCCAAAGTATTTGATGTTTTGCCAATTATTTAATCATTTGTGCATTATTATACTGAGATATTATTATTAATTTTTATGTATAATCATTGTTATTTTATCTACACAAAGACAACCGGTTATTACATATATGCATGCACAAGTGATTTTTACTTTTACAATGACAATTTTCATCACATTTGTGAAATGGTGGACAACCTTCTCATATGCTTCAGTCAGTTTCTTGGATATTCCTACTTTTATTTTCTTTTGTTATCCTCCGAGAAATGTAAAAATATATCTATTTTTGCTTTGCTAGATTTGGTGAAAATCAATATCGTAAATTAACAAAAGAAAGAAAAGTAAAATGGTAATGTAAACAGTCTAAAGTAAATGATAGTGATGATAACAGGAAAACAGGTACAAGAGAACAGGAGCTGCCATGTAATGAAATAAAACTGAAGGACGAGGAATTATTACATAAAAATGGTGTTGAAGAAATTCAACTGAAGGAGAAGGATACCCTCAACAGAAACAGCTTGATGAGATACCTATGGAATATATGAAAAATGTAAAAACGAAATTAATGTGATATGTGTAAACTGCAAAAATAACAGCAGGTGAATATACATCAAATAAGATTGATGAGTTTATAAATTCTCTATTAAGGCTTACTAGAGAATTAAACGAGTTAAAAGAGCAAAAAATAATATACTGGAGACTGAAAATTTAGAAAATAGTGAAAACAAATTAGATAGGAAGCTTGTGAGTTAATTAAATCAATATTCAAGGAATTAAAATTTGGAAATAAATGGTTGTCATAAGAACCAAGAGAAAAATGTACATGAGATTTTGTAAAAAACTACTATTAAAATTCATATAAGAATCTAAATATGACATAGAAGTTGCACATAGAATATCAACTGTTAACAGAGAGAATGAAACCTAATTGTGTATATAGTGACATATAGGAAATGAAAATGAGGTAATTAGAAATTTAAGAAAATATGTTAAATAGATTATAAAACAAACTTATAATAAACCAGGTAAAACCTTTAATATAAAGAGAAACAATAATTCCTTGTATTTATTTCCTACATGTAATAAAGAAGTGAAAACTATAGTTATGAGCCTAAAAAAATCAGAAAAGTTCAGGAATTTCAGTAAGAAAAGTAAAGTATACATTATATCATAAAATCATTGGCATATATTTATAACAATGGGAACGTTTTCAGAGGAGTTAAGAAAGGTTGTAGTAATTGCGACATACAAAAAAGTGATAGGAATAATTATATGAATTGTAGACCTATCTCAACATTACCTGTATTTTCTAAAGTAGTAGAAAAATAGTAAAAAGTAGGTTGACAAGATTTTTAAATAAACACAATTATTTCAGTAAAAATTAATATGTATTTAGTGAAGAATTAAATACTGAGGAGGCATTCTTAAATTTCACACAAAATACTTTTGAGTCCTTAGATAGTGGTGAATAAACACTGACTGTATTTTGAAATCTGGAAAAGGCATTTGATACAGCATCAGATAAAATGAAAATTCTACAGATAAGAGACATTGTTTAAAAATGGTGTAAATCTTATTCAATAATATGTAACATAATTATATCAGTCAACTTGAATATTTAAAATCTTCAGTAAAACTTAACTGTAATGATATACTTCTAAATAACTGGTTTATTAAGTTCTGTATGGTACTTTTTAAACAACTTTTAAATATTCAATAACAATAATAATCTGCTTTTATATTTATGTACATAAATGCTGATGTTTATACGTCTAAGAAATATTTGTACACACTGCTTTTATAGTCAGTTACTTTTTATATTTCCAATATAAGTAACACATTGAAAAACTTTTTCAGTTACTCATTAGTCAATGTAAGAATGCCAATCATTTGGTGTTGTTAAAACAATTCTGGTGCATTAATTCAAATGTGAATTTGTGGTACGAAGATACTTGTCTAGTATTTCTTACTTTTTTTAGTTACTAAGGTGGACAGTTCAATTCATCAAGAATCTTCAGGATTGTTTGTATAGTTTTAACAACAGAACATTGGTCAAGGAATGTTTCTAAATTCCTATTTTCTGTAGTTACTTATTGTTCTGGGTCATTCCCTTTTGGTGTCACATGTGCTTTCTTGTGGGAAATATTGCTGTAAAGTAGATTACATTGACTGAAGTTGACCAGGGATCTTTTCAGCAGCAGATCAAGTGATATCTTAATAACATTACCTTCATCATTTTTCTATTCAAATTATCAACAGTGGAAATGCATGTATACTAGTCCAATCTCTTTTTGTTCTTTAAACTCAGTCAAAGTTAGAATTCAGATTTACTCCAGTGTCAATTCAGCCAGCAAAAGATATTACAGTTACTGATCCTTTCAATGTGTGTGCTATGTTACTTCAATATTCTCTTGGCCAGATAAGACTGTCTATATATACATAAAACCCACTCTCTGTTTGTAATGCTCTCTTTGTCATTAATGCTTGACTATCTGTTGGTAACATTTAAATTGACTCAGTGGTTTATCTCCAGCAGAACCTCAGTCAAGCAGGGTTTTTTTAATAACTTTTTAAATTATTAATTCATTATATTTAGCGTGAAATATTACAATATTGGGAAAAACAACAATAACATGACAGTTTATTAATATTTGTTAACATTTGATTGCAAAGCCTGGATGAAATCGTGATTATAACAGTCAACTATCATGTGGAAGTCTCACATTAGAATCCCAGTGAAGTAGGAATTTTATGTTAAATGTTATTATTTTTTATATATTTATTTCTATATTTACAACAAATACAATATAAATTAAATGAGGGATAATATCATATTACATAATAAACACCAGTGGCTGTATGTGTCAAAAAAAACTTAATTATCTTTTTAATGAAATAGATAGTGCAACAATATGTTGTTACTGATGTTTTTCACCTTAAGTAAGAGATTTTTAAAAATGTAGTCAAAAATTTATAAGTATATTTTAAGTGAAGTTATACCTTCATGCATTTACTCTTTACCAAAAATTTCATTGCCTTGCCATCACAATTAATAAATCATAGGGTCAGACATTTGACCATGTAGGAATATTTCTTTGAGAACCAGTTGATGTTTTATTTTGCATGGTTCAATCTATAAGGCTTTCAAGGCTATCAAGAAGAAAATTTGAAAACAACAGAAAAATATACATAAGTCATAATTCAAATCAAGGACCACTTACAAAATGTTTTTTTGAAATACTATAAAAAGGATAAACATTCTTTATACATACATGTTACTATAATTAATGAATTTTTAGGAAATATTTTCAGAAAACATATATTTAGATATAATTTCCAGAAGAAAAATTAATCAGCATTTAATGTCATGTGATGGCAGTCATCTAGTCTACTATAGAGCACAAAGAAATGATTAGAAATAGGCAACCTCAACAATTTTCTAAAACACATGTTTATGCTAAAACTGCATAGAAACTAAATAAATACATTTTTTTAAATTCCTATATCACTAAAACCAGATATGAAACGTGATAATCCTATATATCCCAACAATGTAGCATACTTATTTTGATCACTTGTATCTATTAACAAAAAACACTAGTTAATTTCCAGGAAAAACATCAGACCATTAAAAAAACTGAAGGCTACTGAAAATATAGCAGAATCATAGAAATAAAATTTTCAATGAACAGCTTACTTAATGTTACTTATTAACAATTAGTATACAGGATTAGCATTTTAAATATATTTCATTAGATAAAAAAACCTTATCATTATTAAGTAAGAAACTTATGTCATACCCTGTTTTTTCAGATTTTATTTTTCCGTATTATGATAAAAAAAAACACTTTGAAACTAAGTGCTTGAGTGCCTTGGACATTTTTCACAAAGGCATGTGGAGATTTTGACTTCTTAAGAGAGCATTCTGGGAGAGTAGCAAGAACAATCAAAAAGAAATATCCATTTTTTTCAGGGTACAATGTAACCTTCTCTGCTTCTTGGTTTTTGTATAGCTATAAAATCTGTAAAGAGAGCTTGTCCACCAAGAAAGTACCCCAAAAACTAACTTTATACAACCATTTCATAACTATCTCTTATGGTTACAGTTTTATTGCTACTTTTTTTATGTAGTTAATATAGTGATATTGAAATGGTGTTGCAGAACCATTTTTTTCTGTTGTATATTTCAGCTTACAGTTTTTGGACGCTGTTATTTTATAAGAAGAAAAAAAATTGTTTTGCAAATACCATCTTAATACTTCAATATATGATCATATGTTTCATGTGTATCAGTAGGTTATTAAAAATAAGTTGTAGTAGATATACTGTTCACATAAACATATTTAGTTGGTAGTACGATTATAAAATTACATACAACTTTTGGCTTATTTGTGATTTTCAAGCTGTGATCATTCCAGTTTGTGTCATATCTGAGCTGTATCATTTCCTTCAGTTCAGCACTAATGCAAATTATCAATTCTAAAACAAAATACTGGTTCTCTAAGCGATTATGTGTCTTTATTATAGAAATTATATAACAATCCACATACTTTAGTGTAACTAGGTTTCTATTAAACAGTGACCTCAGTTGAGATTTTACAAATTAATATTGGAGTTGATTTTATAATTATGTTCTAGTCTTTGTGAATTAAATACTACAACATTAGGCATAATGCATTGAATTTATCATAGGTAGCCAACAACTGAACAAAACATGTTAGTATTTGCTGTTTCAGTTTGGGTAATACTAGTTAAAGTTCATAACTATTTAATAAAAATGCTTATGTCACTCACTATAAAATACTTGTTGAAATTTATAAAAAGGCATAAAACTTTGACTATAATTGTCCTTCTATTCAAACAGACATTAAAAAGAAATATGCAACCCACAATGTCAGAGCATGTGTGTGTATGTGCATATTTAGTAAAAAACATTATTCAATAGAATATGAAACTATCAAAGAAAGGAACAAATTAAAACTTATCCGTAAACAGTAAACATTTGTTGTGAGCCTTTCTCAGAAAATATACATATATCAGAGAAAGCAAGTGAACTGATCATAACTAAAAGTATAATATCATTATTATGGGATAACTTACAGTTGATTTGACATAGACAACAGCCAAAAGCAGAAGAAGGGGATATCAGAATTATCAAATGAAGCCTAGAAACTGTAGTTATAAAAGCTTTTAAAGTATATTTGTGGTATATTCTACTAAACGGTAAAGCTTGATCATTGCAAATAATAAAAATTGTATCAAACATGAAATTTATTATACTCTTTATGAAAGAAGGAACTTACTTTTAGTGTTACGTTTTTTGTCAAGTTGCCTTAACATTATTCTTAATAAGCTATACTGTACATTATCAATCATAAGAGCAATTATTTGCACCTTCAAATTACTCAACATACAAAAATTTATACAAAATTTGCTGTTTCGGTACTTAGTCAATATTCCTCATGCAAATAAATTGGATATTTCATATTGTGAACAATTACCCAATATATTGTTATGAAAACAGTGCATACAGTTATATCCAACGCATTTATATTACTAATTTATTTACGAAGATGCAAATTTACTCAAGCAAGCCAAAATGAAAAACGCCTACAAGATGTATTTAAATTTACAGTTGAATTTTTTTTAAAACTAGTTGACATGGAAACAGATTTTAGTATAGAAATTGAAAAAATGATTAAAGAATAAAATACATGTATATTGTTGTGATTTTGAAATTTATATTGCTCATACTCTTATAGAACCTTAACATCAGTAAAGTTGTTCATATTATTGGTTATATCTAGTGTTACTCTAAGAAAAATGTAACTTTTCAGAGACCTGATCAACCACATATGTGAGACACTAAATCATGCTTTTCTTTATAATACTAAAACTATATCTTTCTGACATGTTTTTTGAATATATGAGTGTCATTTGAATGGAAATGTAGCAATTTAGTAATTTAACTGCATATTCTGTATTAAAACAATAGAAAAAAGTGAAATAAGCTTTCAATAAAGAAAGAGAGAAATATATGTTAACATTTAATTAAAGTACTTTTCCACATTTAATAATGTGGATAAATATATGTAGCCCACTACAAGGTAAAGTCTTTGTTTTTTATTGTTTTATCAAGGTGATGCATTAAGTCTCAAAGTATTAAAAATAAACAGGTCTTAGTTTATAGTTAATATTATGTACACAGACTAATAAATTCTTGTAAATAAAAATTTGTTAATAAATATTTTTAAATACTAATAATTTCTAGTAAGTGTTGGAAAAACACTAAGTTAAAAACTGAAACATAATTATTCTGTTCTTTCAACTCAAAGTATCAAAGAGAAAAAATTACACAGGAAGACCCATCTTAGAGATGCTTGACTTTCTCCGTTTCTTTCTATTTGTACTTTCTGAGACAGTGTCCTGACTATCGCTGACCTCAAACATGGATTTCTCCTGCACAGAAAAAATCATCCTTAGTGCATTTGATATATGATCCAAGACATTTTACAATTAACATATATTTTATAAATCATATTCATATTGGAATTTCTACTTTTTAAACACTATTTTCTATTGAATACACCCAAAACTTTTTTTTTATATTTATGCACCATAGTGTAGATTTGGTACAATTTTTTTTATATTTTGATCAAATGTTTCTGTACATGAACAGAAAAAGTATTAACACTGCAATTTGTAAAACAAAGTAAAAGTTAATATAAGACTTAACTACAAGCTTAAAGATTGATTTTTTTTGTTCCAAAATATATATACTGAAACACACTGTAAAGCAACATTGATAATATGTTATGTCAAATTACAAAAATAAACAACTGTTACCAAATTTTTCATGTGTGTTGCTTTTGCAGTTATTCTATAATAAGTTATGCCAATGGTAATTAAAAAATATTTTATCATACCAATAAATTAATACCCTTTAAATAATAATATGACATATGTAAGCTGGGATAGATTACTTATGGAACTAGAAAAACAACTTTGATTTATACACATTTTTATTAGTCTGATTAATGATAAAATTTCATAACAGACAAATGCTTCTACCTTAAGTCTGTTGAATTTGAGCTAGATTTTCTGTCATATTACAACTTATTGTGAGATAGTAAATTCTACTTTATTTTGTTATGGTTTTTTTTTATCATTCGTTATTCCTTCAACTACAAGTTGAGTTCAACTACAAATTTTTAGTTACCTTGAAGTGCTAACTCACCTTCTGTCTAGAACATGTTGATTTTGAGTACGTATGTATGTATTATGAAACTGACACAAGCTTCCCCTAGCAGTGATGTACAGATATTAATGTTATGAAAGATTATATAGATTTATGGTAATAGCTAGTCACATATAATGTAACCTCATGGTCTAACCACTTAATAAAAAGCCTTCCTTGATCTTGAAAATGAATTAGTTCACGAGATATGGTTAGAAATAATTATTGTTCTTGATAATGGTTTAAGATTCGAATATTGTGTTATTCTCTGGTGAATTATATTTTTTCTTCTTCTGGTTCTGTTTCCTAATTCTTTTGATGTTTCTTGAAATTAATAACATTGTGATTTATGTTGTACTAATTATTAACATTTGTACCTAGTCCTGGCTAGGCACAAGTTTACTAATTGTGTTTTGGAAGTGATAAAATTTTCATTCTAGTTGTTTGAAATTTATATTTCAACAAGCTGTTTTTATTGACTCTGGTTGTAGCAAAATTTTGTTTAGTCCATTACGTGATAACCATGGCTGTGAAACTTGACTGTATTAATTTTGTGTATTGGCAAGTATATTATCAGTTATATCTAAAAAGGATTCTAAATTTTGAGGTCTTGTAGTTTGTTTGAGAGCAAAGCCACATTAGGCTATATGCTGTGTCCACCACAGAGAATCAACCCCTTGATTTTAGTAATGTAATATTGTAATCATTTTTATAGCTTCACTTTTCATTAAGATATATACTTGCACCATTTTATTTTTCAAATGCTTAAGAATCAAGAGACAAATAAATAAAAAATCAAAAATTCAATGTCATCCTCATTGTAAGAAGACCCTGGTTAGCTTGTTTGTACCATGAATTGAAAGATTCAAGGTTTGCAGCTCATTACTGATGGTCATAATCCACTACTCAATGAGTCAAGAGTAGCCTAAAAGTTAGTGATGGGTGATGTTAAGTAGCTGAATTTCCTTTAGTCTAAAAATATTAGAACAACTATTTGCAGATGTCCTTTTATGGAGCATTACACAAAAAATATGAAACACATTCTACCTATGAATACCACAATGAGAACAAGGTGTCTAGGCAAGGGTATTTAAAGTTATTTGCATTTGTTGAGGTACTATCAAATCTGGCTCAATATGTATCTTGGAACTAAATATACCTCTTCATAAAAAAAAATGTTCCTGTGCCTTACAATCTAGGAACAAAAAATTTTTAATATTATACTTTAGAAATATGTTATCACCTCTAGAAATCTCTTTCTGGTATCTTTAGTTAATGGATTTGAAGACGTTTTGCTGTTCAGCAATGAAAGTTGTTCTGTTTCATCTGTTAAACTTTCTATCTACAAGTAACAGAAATAAAGTGCATCTTACTGTAAGGTTAAAAACAATTTCAGACACCTTTTACTATAGAACTAGAAACTTCTGATTGAAAATGCTTATTTACTGCATCTTATCTCTTTCAAGAAATGAGATTATGTATAAGCTCTTCCAAAAAAAATTCTTACATAACAGAAAATGTATTCCTGAAAGCAAAGCAATACTTCAGAACTATGGTTGAAATATAATAGAACAAAGTTGGTGAAAGTCTGTGACAAAAAAGTAAAATGTAGAGGCTACAATCAATATATTAAAAATTCTAAAGTAATAACATCTTTGGAAAAATGTTTTTGCACACTTTGTTTTAAACAAATATGCACATGCCTATGCCAAGTTCTTGATTTCCCTCTTGGAGACCCTATTATAACTATATTAAAACAAAATGTGATATAACATCATTCACACTACCCCCTCCCCACAAGTTGTTGCCCAACAGCATATTATTGAACAATCAATGCAATTAATATACATTCAAATAGTTTCACATTCAGAGTTTAATAACATAGAGTTCATTGGAAAGTTCAATGAGTTTGGTTAAAACTGTAGTCGTGCCATCCCCTGTCTTCTCAGCTTCTCTCAAGCTTCCACTTCTGCTCTTCTCTTGCATTGATCTTGTTGTAGAAATTCACTATGCTCCTTCTCATTATCTTGCAAGTTATCATTATAGTTTATCTCCAGTGGAAAAAAAACTGAATAGGACATTTCAGGAAACTGCATCTTACCTTTTTGTACCAAATTCAAATGTAACTCCCATAGTGAGGCCATCTGCTCCAGTGATGAACTGCTCAATCTTACCAAGTTTCTAGAATCCTCTAGAATAATTCCCATCCTGGACTAACACAATATCTACCTCTCTTACACTTCCAGATCCTGTTATCTTGCTAATTCAGCTATAGGAATTTCTGAGTCCCAACAAACACTTGTTCATCCATCTTTTCCAAAAGTGCTTCATAATTTTACCAAGGTGGGTCAATCTCTTGCTCAAGTTCACTGAAGAAACCACAGAGTCCATAATTCAATAAAATGTTGGAACTCTTATCCAGTGAACTCATGATCCTTTGATCACAAAGTAGATAAGATAGTGTAAGAGGTTCTTCAAGATCCTCCAATGAAACATATGAGAGAGGACAGGAGTTAAAAATCATTTCTGCTTCAGTCACCACAGTTGTAAGCTTATCAGATGACAGATTAATAGTACCAACAGTTTCCTCAAATGTCTTTTCAGAGACTTCACCAATCTCTGAAAGGTATTTCCTCACTAAGGTCCCTTCTCCAAATTAAATACCCATTTGAAGTGCTTACTTAATGGTTCTTCATGGGTTTATTAAATTCCTTTGATGCAGATTTAAACATTTTTGTATTGTTACAAACTATAATTATAGGGACAGATGTACGAGCAATGAATTTCTGAAAATATCATAAAAGTAAGACTTGGAACAACTTCCAGATGAACAGCTCTGAATTATTTTTTCTGAGCATTTTCATTTAAGAGAAAATAAAAAATATCATCTAATTATCATATAGTGCTTGTATTTATTGCACTTCAACCAGCTTGACAGTTTAGAAAAATTATAAATGTATATTTTTGTGGTTTTTATGGCTCTATTCAAATAGGCACCATCCTTTCCAGATCATATTTACATGTTCTGAATGATAATTAAATGTAAACTCTTTTTGTACTGGATAAAAGTATTTATATCCACACTAACAGATCAATACATAATTTATATGGATACTAGTTTCAACATTTCATATATCCTCTTCAGGTATTGTGTATTTACCAATTATTACCTGACAATTATTCTTGTCTTGCCCATTAGATATTTCAGATTCAGGGTCCTCCATACTTAAAGGCTGCTTGGTTGGTCTCAAGTATTTTGGGAAAGCTTCAGAGATAATAAGTTTCTTCTTCACAGTCTTTTTATATCTATTACTAGGATATATATATAAACAACTTTTAATATTTAATCACTTTCATATACATCTTAAATTTATTTTTACCCTAGATGGTTGAACATCATTAAAAGCACTTCAAAATAAAAGGCAGGTCCATATCTTAACCTTGACATAGGATTTACATTGTTAATTGTTCTGAAGTTTCTCTAAACCTTTTAGAAGGTTGCAGACATTTACTCAAATTTAATAATACTGAAGAGTCTGGTAAAATATAAAAAATGTAACTTTACCTACTTCTACTTGTTGATAGTTATAAAGAAACTGCACACAGTCCACTTGTTTTCAAATAATACATTAAAACAAGTCAAACTTATATATAAATGTTTGTTACATTGTTAGTTATCACAGTTTTATCCAGAGCTTTAAATAATTGTCTCTTTTTTGGCAAAGTCCACACAAGCTGGTTCAGTTATTTTGGAACACAATTTGACAAGATGAATTATTCTCTCTACTCTGTTATTACAATATAATCTGTGATAATTTCACTTTAAAAATTGCCACTATATACTCTTTATGGCTAAACTCTCAATCACGCGTTCTAGATCTATTTATCAAACTAAATTTTCATTGCATATTTATACCCTTACAGAGGTCTAGAATGTTCCACACACTACTAGATATTATTATGCAATAATATTCAAATAAAATAAAAAAAACTGAAGGTTCTGGTAACATGATGCAATAATATAACAATTACCAATTCATAACTATTGAACTACACAATATATGAATCATAAACAGGTATATAAACCTGCAATAAATTATTGCTTCTAAAAATAACTAAATATACATTCATGGTATATAAATTATCTAATTCATAACACTCACATGAAACTGAAACAGTAGTGTATATCTAGCATGCTCCTATCTTATATGTGAACTGGATTTTGTACTTTTGTTTTACAGTTAACACTTTTTTCACAAATTAAATATTTGTCTGAAGCTGCACTTGTCTGATTGAATCCACCCTGGTCTATTTCATTATTTTAACATTAAAAACTAGAAATATGATTAGAAGTGGCTATGCTTTTACTACAAGAAATTCCATTTGTATTATCTAATAGCTTCTCATTTTTCAGTTTTGTTAACAACAGTGTTTTAACACTTACCACTGACATTTTATTCCAATTATAATGTGATAACACACACATAAATATAAATATCTTTTACACTAAAAATGAAAATTAGTAACACTCACTGGCCTTTGCCTGAAACAATATAACCTTCTTTTTCAAGTCTTTTAAGGATACAAGCAACAACATTTTTATCAATGTGCAGTTGCTCCTTCAGATAAGCAGCTTGAACATTAGTCAGCTCACTACACAAGACCAAAGTACGCCGCCAAATACATAATGCCTGTAAATTAAGATGTGTTTTTACATACTGGCATTTAATATATTAATACAAATGTAATATTTCAGTGTCACACACTACTGTATGCAACATACATCACATTCTATTATCTTACAATATCAAGTGTCCAGCTCTATACATTTTTTCTTATTATTTGTACTAAAAGTTTTAGTTTAAGTATGGGTAAGATGAAAATAATGAAGAATTAAAAAGTAAACTACATGAAAGGTAAATAACTTAAAGCAAAGAAAATTATGTTAAATTATGTAATTACCAAGTGTGTGAAAAAGAATATTTCCTTCAAAACTGTTCAACACAAATTCCATTTCTATTTTGGAATAGGAATTTAATCATCAGTAATTTAATCAAAAACAGAATTATTAATTAACCTAAATAGGTGATTAAGTTACAGATAATGTTAAACCTAGTGATATTTCAAACAACATCAGTAATCTCATGGACACATTAGTATATAATATTAAATGTTTTATTTCCTATTTTGTAGTTGTATTCTTAATTTTCTCAAAATTATAATGAGACAAGATTTTCTATTTCTCTTGTCTGTCACTTTCATTACAATGACATAATAAGCACTTCAAAGTCAAACCTGTTTCTCAACTACAGGGAGACTTGACAAGTAATGGTCAGTTAACTGGTTTCTTTCATTCTTCTTACTTGCACACTCTTCACATATATGCCAAACTGGTATATTCTCCTCTTTCATTATTCCATAGCACATCCCATGCTGCAAGGCATTACATTCTGCACAAGTAAGCATTATAGGATCAACCTGCAATGAGTATGCTTGAATTAATTTTATTAAGCACTTACAAGTGAAAGACAAAAGGATCAAACATTTCAGTGTTCTTTAATATACAGTTGTGTTTTCAGACCTGTTTTACCTGATCTACTTAACAGAAGCAATATGCAATGTTCAAGCACACATTTTGCTTTGTTTTCCAGTTTTACAATAATTATATTAATTGACCTGCCAAAAGAATAATAACAGATAATAGGTGCTTAATACATAAAATCAATGACTTATTTTCTCCAATTTGTTTCCATTCATGATAATCAATTTCCAGAGATAAAGGGACAATGGAATTTCAGAGAATAAGAATTTACAACATACAGTTTCAATAGTTATCATCATTATAAAGCTGGTAAATTTAGTTTGTAGTATGTTTTATCATAAACTACATGCAGGTACAATGAAAAAACAAACAAACTTATAACTGAACCATAGTTTCATATGTACAGTAAGGTAGACTAAAATAATGTTAGATCTAAATTAAGTTTACTTTTAATAATAAGGTGTAAATTTTAAATAATAAGTTGGCAAACAACAATATAAATAACAAAGTGATAAAGACATAGTAACTTTAGCCTAGCTTTTTTGTATAAAATTATGCACAAATCCTACCTTTTGTAAAGAGCAAGGGCAATTTACTAACTGCTCTTTAGTGCCCATAACACTGCACATGGCACCATGACTTTCTTCTTCATGTAATAAATACAAAAAATACAGTTTTTAGAAATGGAAATATCAAGCAATGTCTGAATGTGTGTAATAGTGAATGTACAAAAGTCTGTGAAAAAATAAACAGTAACAGAATTAAAATGAAAATGTATTACATCTTTATGTATACTCATAAATTTGGTGCATAAAGTTTTTACATATATTTCTATCTTGCTACATATAATTTTGAAAAAATTCTAATTCAAGGACCAGAGTTTTTCAATTACAAGTGATTTCAACTTCAGAATAATATAACATAATTTACTAATTGACACAAATAAAACTATAACACGATTTTTCTTCTTTTTTTTTTACTCTAGCAGCTAGAATAAAATGCTTGTAAGTTTTCTAGAATGTATATGTATATATATATATAATATTACTGTCCGTTGTATGTCCATGTAACTTCTTTGCAGGGTGTGAATGGATCTTCACCAAAATTGGTATGAAGATTCATGGGGAGATACAAACAATTTTTCAGTTTCGCAGTTGTTATGAGCATTTTCACATTTTTTTTACCACTACTTTGCCTTCTGCTAATGGATCTTCACCAAATTTGACATGAAGGTTTGTTGGTTCATGCAGAGATACACGCAAATTCGTGGTTTCACATTTTGTGTTTTACATATAAGGGAAACAACTTTTCATGTCCTAAGATAACCTTTCATTAATCATGAATTTACATAACTTCCCTCCAGGGGACAGGTACTCCAGCTAGTAATGAATACAATTCATATATGTTAATTTATGGTGTAACATGTATAACACTTCTGGAAAATGCTTTGTACTTTCTTTTCAAAAATAAATTCCTTTTTATTGTTCTCTTCTGAAATTTAATTATCTCAATTCATTTATTAATTCATACTTTCAATAGCAAAATTTCAACTATCTTTATACGAAACATATATTTGACAAACATTTTATTCATTTTCACAACAAGAAATTATGGTTTGTAAAGCAAATAATGAGTTTACACTAAAAATGTTTGTTAAGTAGTCCAACAATTCCATTTAATTACAATAACCTTCAAAATATTTTAGAAAGTAAATGTATAAAAACATTAACAAAAATATTAATCAATAGATTCTGTCTTCAATGACACTAATTACTTTTTTTAACAATTATTATTTCCATAAATTATTTGTAACGAACATAATTTTAAGAAATACTATACTTTATTAAGTGCAAATATACTTTTTTAAATAATAGTAGGTTAAATTGATGAAACAGCATCTTGCAATATTTTTACACTGATTTTACTTATTTACAAATAAACTATTTGAGCTATTATTTATCAGTTTCAAAAATATTTATCATTTTTTGTTCTTTTTCATAAGAAGAACTGTCTATTTGTCTGCTAATATTCTTTAGTAACTGATTTTCAGTAAATCTTATTAAGAAAGATAAAAATAAAACATTATTTTAACAGATATGATGAATTTTATGCATCTTCCTAATTTCTAATATGTTTCTAACCTGGTTTTGTTGGACTTTTAAATGGTACGGTATCACACTGTGGTATATCTTGTTGTGGCTTTCTACCTTCTTCTAAACTAGTAATAACTGAAGAAATTCCTACTGCACCAGTGGTATCTAACTGATGAAATGTTATTTGATAATAATAGCAAAAAAAATACCATATGGAAAATGTTACTGCTAAAAACAATACTTGGATTTTATACACAAAATTATCATTTTTGATGACAGAATTAGCTGAAATTTACATTTCCTTAAATACTGATCTGACTGATAATCAAATAATTAAGATGTGAAAATTGTACTTTCAGTAAGCTAGATTTTGCTTCTGAACATTACTATATTGTAACACAAAGTGCATGAAGAGAAGTTGTTGTGATTATAATGAGTCTATGCATGTAAGCTGGTTAATGGAGTAATTACTTAAGAAAGGCCATGTTATATTAATTTTGACATTAAATTCCTTGTATATGCAGCTTCTTGAACTTTTTTGCAAAGGTATGTGGTACACTAAAATAAGCCATACTGAAATGTCTAAGAATAAATGATTGAAGCATCACCTAGCCACAAAGTTTACTAACTAACTAATTTATAAATACCACAAAATGATCTTTACATAACATGTCGTTTATAAAAGACAAATGATTTGATAATTCAAAACTATTGAACAAATTAATTCCTTTTAATTAAAATATCAACTAAGAATATAGAATATCTAAAATATTGTCAGGCCTCTTAAGTCATATCACACTGCTTAAATAGTACTATTATGGAATCCCTTATTAATTCAGTAAGCATCACATCAAACATATCTTACCTGAAAAATCAAACAATCATCTTTATAGTATGCTTACCTCATAAGTAAATATATATTACATTTCAAATAGATGTATAAATTGCTCAAATTGCTTTCAAAGTTAGCTGTATTCTTGATAATATATGTACCAAGTATTTATAAAATTTCTATTCTATGAAATGTATGTGATTTCTTATTTACAAATAAATATTTTTATTCTACGACTATATGTTACATTCTATTTTCTTATTATAAGTTCATTTTGCTAAGTTTACAAAATATTAAAATTCTGAATAAAGTAGAACAGTATATGAATTGTCATGTCCAATAGCCAACACAGTTATGTGTTTATTCATTTCTTTGTGCTTTTCTGACTATTCTGAAATGAATTATTTACAAAATAATTTCCTATTTCAGTAATGTTTGTATGAAATATATAAAATTTTATTTTACCTTATTGCTACTGATTTTCAAACTTTATTAATTAAAAAATACTTACCAAAGTCTCACAGTCATTGTCAGGTTTTTCAATGTTCAAATCACTTGCTTGTAATATTTCCTTTTCTACAGTATGGCTTTCAGGTTCTTCAAATTTTTTTCTATCTGTTTTAATTCGAAGTTCCAATCTGACAACAAATATGCATATAATGAAAAATTACTCTTAAGCATACTTTGAAAATTAAGAGAGAAGCATTTAAGGTGCTGAGTACAGTCATGTAAAAGTCTTAGATAGTGTAAGATACAATTCCTGATACTATATAGACAAATGCAAAACTTAAAACATGCATACACATGTAGTAGATGTTAGATGTTACAATAGTTAATTTGTAACTATTAGATCAATAAGAAATCATAACTTTAAAATATGTTATTTGCATGTTGTACTTACGGAAGAGAGAAGACATTGGAAAGATAAGTTGTTTTACTGTTATAGATTTTGGAATACTATTTAATATTAAGATTATCAATTTTAGTGATTTGGGTTTAATAACAAAAAATTACCTAGATTTAGTAAGATTGGTAAATAAAAATAGTAGGGTTAAAATTTTAAATTAGAGCTTAGTGGTATAATCTGTACAACAATGTTAGAATAGGATTAGGACATGTAATTGTACTTTTTAGGCTTAACTGTAATTCATCTTTGTGGTAAGTCAAAAAACAGGTTAAATACAATGTTTTACTAAACAAATACAACCTAAAGACTACTTAATTGTCTCTTTGTGTTTTAAGGATTATCTTGTTTACTTGACTTTAGTCTAAATCCATTAGTTTTAAATTCAGCTTATAGGTAGGTTATAAATCATTGTATTATTACTGTTAATATTAGTATTACATCAACATCAAATAAAGTAAAGATTAATTATTTGTCACTGCTATAAAATTAAAGATAAACTTAATTAATTTAGTGTGAACATAAAGTAGTGATAAAAAACTGTAATATATTTTATTCTGAAACGTTGGGCTTCACAATAATAGTGTTGGCAATAGGCTACTGGTATTTACATTTTAGACTCGGAGCCATTTTGTGTATTTGCTCTAATAAAGGAGTTTATACAAACAGGTGTACAGAAAAGGTTTGATGGCAGATTTGGGGAGAGTGGACCTTCCTGATCACTGTACAACATGCAGTGGAGTCAAATTATGGTGTCAGTTTTTTTCCTAGACGTAAGTCATCTCGACAGTTCTTTTTCTAATATTTTATTTATTCCAGTGGACATCATAAAACTATTTAAGAAGTATTAATTAAAAATTGATTAATAGATAAGAGTATATGAATATTTAAGCCTCACTAAAAGAATAACTGAATATCTTAAGATCTTGTGTTTGTTCATATTTTTGCAGATTGAGCTGACAGACAGATGAAGAGAAACCATCAAATTTACAGCTTTCCTCAAAGAGGACACTAAAGTCAACAAACTTCAACAAATATGTAATATGTCAGAATGATATAGCAAAAACATTATTGAAGGCTAAGCAACAATCTATCACTAAATTGATAGATGCTCTGCAGCAGGGGGTCAATGATGTTCATGAACATCTGGGGAATGGTACTGTGCCACCACAAAATGAACAGATCCTGTGGCATCAGACAAGCTATGCATCCTATACCAGTATTGAAAATCTTAGTCAAATCAACAAAAGACGCAGAACATTATCCCCTCTATTCTCTGAATGCACTGTTGAACCTGCAGTCATCAGTGGACAGCTATCCCACTCATCAACCTTGCCCTTTGACTCATGAAAGTGTATATTCTGTTGAAAGAAATCACAACAGTTGTTGGAGGAAAATGAAAAGAAACAAGAAGAGAGATTACAGCAGTTGTTGAAGGAAAACGAAAAGAAACAAGAAGAACGAGAAAATAAACAAGAAGAAAGACTACAGCAGTGGCAACTAGAACAAGAAAGGAAACAAAATGTACAAATAGAAAAGCTTAGTAAATTTCAAAACGAATTAAATACATTAAAAGATGATTTATTGTCTTTTACAAAAGGAGGATACATTAACCATCGACTTAATCAGACCCAGACAATGGCAAGCCCCTTCCAGACCTCGCAGCTAAACTCTCATGCAGACATCTTCAATCCTGTTAGAAGTCACATCTCAGATATGAATGTCAGCAATAGGGGTGATCTAGTACAAAAGAAGCCACAGGAATTTGATGGGAAGGCACTGTGGGAAGCATATAGAGCACAATTTGAGCTCCTGGCAGAAATGAATGGATAGACGGAGGAGCAGAAAGCAGTATATCTGGCAATGAGCTTGATGAAACAATCACTGGAAATACTTGGACAGTTGTCAGCAGATGACAGGCACAACTATAGAGCACTGGTAGCTGCTCTAGAACTCAGGTATGGAACCCAAAATCAGTCTGAAGTCTACAGAGCTAGGTTTAGGATGAGAGTCTGTGCTAAAGGGGAGAGCCTGCAAGAGCTGGCACAGGACTTGGAAAGTATGGCATACAAGGCATACTCAACTGCACCATCCGATGTCCTCTAGCTGTTGCTGAGGGATCAGTTTGTAGACGCCTTGGACAGTCCACAACTGAAGCTAGAAGTAAAGCAAGCACACCCCTCTACTATACAAGATGCAATGGCAAGAGCTCTTGAACTTGAATCCTACGTTAAGTCCAGCACAGAGGTACCAAGGTTGGTACAGTCATCAGGATTCAATGCCAGAAAAGGTCAGCTTTCAGAGAGGTTTGAGGGACATTGCTGGCACTGTTACAAACCAGGGAACAAGAGAGCTCAATGCTGGAAACTTCAACACAGGAAAGATGCCATGTCAGGAAAAGCTGCTACCCAGAAAGGTTGTTGGAACTGCGGAGAGCAAGGACATATGAGGAGCCAGTGTAAGAAGAATACTACCAACAAGTCAGCCTCTGGGAGACCGGTAGTGGTTGGTGTTGAGGGATGCCCACC